TATTATTAATAATAATAATTAATACAAAATAAATAAATATACAATAAGAGCACAACAAGACATAACAAAGTGTAAATTGTGGCTGTATTGCAAAGGGAAAAGTGTCAAAAAAATGCCAGTAGTTACTTTTGATGAATCTCTATGATGAATTTACTATCACTATTGTACCAGGGCCAATTTCTCAAGTTGTTTACTATTTACAAACCTCCACCTGGAAGTATTTTCAACGACAAATATCCACTCTCCCACGCTTTTCTTTGCACTCGAACGCAACATAAAGCCCGATTTCCCCTACATCTCCACCAATCAGCGCCCAGCTTCAGTAGTAAACAAGTGCCACAGTGTGGGCGGGAGGCCGCCGCTCATTGGCTGGCCTCTGACTTTCAGCCACACACCCCCTTCCTGACAACGTGTTCAGACACGAGTTTCGCCGGGAGGGACTGAGCTGGACGAGGGAATATAAGCTCCCTCTGAAGGCACAGATAAATAAACAAACGCGCTGAAAATGTCAAGATTGAACATATGAGACACCATAAAGAGATTATCAGAGGGAGGAAACTAGTACAACATGCTGGCAATACAGCTGTTCTAAAATTAAACACTAATAATAACGTCATCCACCCCCCCAAACACACACACACACTGGTGTAGTAGAGGCAATTCCACTCCTATGTATGGACTCATAATGAGAGCTTACACACATTTGAATATAAAGCAGTACAATCCCTGTGAGTCCTCGGAAGTAGGCTACTGCACATTTGATGCGATTTGCACCCACTGATAGCGCTTTAAAGGGCCCGATAAGCACTTTTCCAAACAAATATAACATTAACATTGTTTACGGCGGTGGTTATGACGTGTTTACGGATGATAACCGACTATAAATCATAGTTTATCATCCTCCAACTACATCTTTGATCTCCACCCGGCAACGCAGACTGAGATCAGGAGAAACACCCCCTCCCTCCCTCACTCCCCCAGCTCACACCGCCGAATGAAAACAATATTTGTTTTGCTGTGCTCGCTGCAGCGCAAAAACACATCCGATCACAATAAACAACGCATTTTCCCCGCACTTACTCGGTCTGCGGAGACCTCAGTCCTGTCCTGTCCGGGTCGTCGCTGCCTGGCTGTCCCGCCGCTAGCCGGCTCTTCAGTGTGTCTGTCTGCCGGGGGAAGAGGGGGTTGGTCGGTCGGATACGCGCCTACGTGCGTCTGCTGGGTGAACCAATGCAGGCGGTGACAGCTGGACGGAGCGCAGAGATATCAACCTGCAGCGCGCTGTGTACAAAAGGATGATCTAGGTGAGGGGTTACCAGAGTAGCAGCAGCAGCAGCAGCAGCATCCTCACTCTCTGTCTGTCTGTCTGTCTGTCTGTTTGTTTGTCTCAAGCACACACAAGTCTGTATGTTTGTTAATCTGATGTCTCTCAGTCACACGAGCATTAGAAATGTTGAAGGTTTGGATTCTGGCCCTAATAAACAGAGAAATATCATACACAAAATGAGATTTTTCCGCATTAAATTGCATTTGAGTGTTTGCCCCTGCATTTTATTAAGATGCTATACAAATATCAATGCAAATAAGCTACATATAATATCCAGTAGGCTATATGATATAATACCAAAAGGGATTAAATATACCACAAACTAACTTGATTTCATCCAGATAGAAATATCATAATACTGATATTTATGTAGGGTTATTGCTAATATATAATATAATTTAGTGCAGCTAGTGCATCATTTAAACAGGAAAAACCCAGATTAGTGATCAGATCCTTAAAGTACAGTTTTAATCAAACATCTAAAAACTAATCAAACTGCTGACACCATGCAATATACAGCATATCAACCCCCAGCATCACATGATAAATTCCCTGCATGGAGATCAAACACAACTTGCATGTGTGTATGTGTGTTGCAGAGCCTGTGCCAGTGTGTGTGTGTGTGTGTGTGTGTGTGTGTGTTTCTGTGTGTGTTTGAGAGACCGGATTAGTGTCGGCTGTCTGCACCCTCTCCACCAGACATCCAGTCAGCAGGGATTTTAGGGTCTGAGCACAGAGAGAGAGAGAGAGAGAGAGAGAGAGAGAGAGAGAAAACCCCAATCCTAGTCCCAATCTGATTCCTAAACCAGACAGAATTCCTTCTCTTCCAGTTTCATTCATTAATAATAACATGTAAGCCCGTCAGACCTTCTGGCAACTGCCTCGACTGGTTAGGCATTGAACAGATAATGAATTTACATAGCAGGAGAAACTAGGCTACTGTAGATTTGAACAAGACATGAATGTGCTGTTATACAATATGTGTTAATGATTTAATGGTTTTTAATGGTCACTGGGCAAATGTTGAGGTCATGACATGGTGATGACTAAAGTTTGGGTGGATCCTGGAAATTGGCCAGTTTTAGGTCATTAGAGAATGAGATATCCTCTGTGTGAAACAATGGCACCCACTCTTACACAAGAGTCTACAGACACACTGGAGCAGTGGTTCCAACCCTTTTCCTTAAGGGAGTCCTTTTCACTCATTGAGAAAACTCCAGACTAAGTAACATATTTTATAGATATTTGAAATTATGTTCAGTGCATAACAATAGCAGCACAGAACAACTGATAGACTGTACAATGAACCCAAACAGTGAACGCAATAACTGCAGGAAGTTTAAGTGATTTGGATGAATTTGTGGCAGCTTTGGTGACCACTAATGGGGGTCCAGACCCCCCAGGTTGGGGACCACTGCACTAGAGGATGACATTGTTAACATGCTTACAGATAGCGGGTAAAAAATGTTCTTCATGTTAATTCCATCCTAATTTAGCATTTTAGCATGCTAACATTTGCTAATTAGCACTGAAGACAAAGAACCGTTGAGGCTGATGGGATTGCCGTTCGTGTTGAACATATTTTAATCATAAACCAAAGTCGTTGATGACACTAAAAGATGCCAGGGGACTGCCAAACTTATTACAGTTCATCCTGAGGGCAACATGAATGTTGATACCAAATATCATGACAATCCATCCAGTGGTTTCAATCCAAACCACAAACTGCAACCTCTCTTAACTAAAAAAGTCCACCTCATGGTGGCATTAAATTCATCCTCTGAGGAATGTGAACTTCTAAAGATTTCACAGCAATCCAGCCAAAAGTTGTACCCAATTACTGAAGAGAATCCAAAATTTGTGTTTTGCACTGAACCCATTTAAAGAGATTTGGTCATAAGGGACTTAAAGCCTCTAAACACAACTTGATTTCAAAAATCAAAGTTTGGGGAAGACATTTTTATTTATTTATTTTGAGTTCAACACTGAAACTGTAATCTGGGTGTGGTCTGATCAGATTGATTGACAGCGACCAAACGACCCACCAGCTTCCCTCAAATTCTGATTAAAATGTTGCTGAATCCTGATTGGTCTACTTAAGTATGTGACATTACCACTGCCCTACCCACTTCTAATCAGTGAGAATCAGACAAAATACAAATACATGAATCTCTCAGCTGAAATCACCAAAGATGTCTAAACTTAAGCAGAACCTTGTGTGTTGATCAGGGATCACATTGCTCACAGTAAGTCTGAGGAAATGGGTTTTCTGAGCCTTCAATAGTGGCAAGAGTCGCAGTATCGCTGACATCATTGTCTCACTCGGGTGTGTTTTATTGGGACAGTTCAGTCCAAGGCAATGCACAGCATGGCAACTGGCATTACAAGAATGACAGCTCCACCCGGCTTCGAGGTTTTTTAACCTTTGGTTCACTTTGAATTCTCTGTAAGCCCAGGTGCCACTCCCATGCAATCACAACAAGCCAGGATGGGATGGAAGGGTGGCTTTTATATGACTTTGTTTCCAGGACAAACAGACCCACAAGTTTAATGAATGTCATACATGTTTACAATAAAGGTAAATCCACAAGACTCTATCTGCGCCATCTAACCAGTCCAGGGACTGTTCAGCAGCAGACTGAGAGACTGGAACAAAAAGACAAGACTACAAAAGAACAAATACAAACAGAAAGTTGATCCCTTCATTGAGAATAAAAGTGCACCAAAGCTTAGAAAAATCCACCCCATATCAATCAATGTCAACACATTCAGTACAAAACCAAAAGTTACCTCCTCCATGATCTTCCATTATGCCATCCAGCACAACAGTGGCAACAGTGTAGTTAAATAGTTTATCCCCAGTACTACACCCCGTTTTGAATGCGTTCTTCTCACTGTTCCAGCTCTTGGTTTCTGCTGATTTTCATACAGTATGGAAATCAGTTAGCGTAAAACTTGCTTTGTTGTGATATGAACTGATGTTCACTGTGGCAGGCTACAAAATTCAAACCAGTTTCAAGAATCCGCTCATTTATTTTAATATGGCAGAGACACCAGTGGAAACCAGTGACTGCCAGGAATAGTAGGAATAATACATCAAATAATATTCAAATTTACAGTATGCTGCTGTTTGACAATGGCTGGCAAAAAGTGTGCTTTGGCTTTCTTGCTGAGAGTAAGATGAGAAGATTGATACCACTCTCATATGTTTTTGTTAAACATATGAGAAAAAACATCTGCTTACCAGCACCTCTAAAACTTTCATTTGTTTAATTTGTGCTAAACCCAAAGCGTAACAATGCAAGTTGTGTTATGGGAGTGTTATTAGACAGACTATATCGTGGGGGCAGTGACTTCCCTATCAACCTCACAGTGATGACAAGGATTTAAGAGGACACTGGCTGGGCCAAGAAATAGTTTAATATGACTCACCTGTGAAACCACAATGTTTAATTTTTATACTCTAGGTTTTGTACAGATCAAACAAATGAGAGAATCTGTACGATAATGTGTTAATTAGTGAGCTTTAGAGGTGCTGATAAGGGATTTACCCTTGGAGAGAGCTAGACTAGGGTTTTTCCCCTACTTTTATTTTTTATTTTTTAAGTATTTTTTGGGGCTT